GTTCAGCAGTTCACTGCAGTCAATCTGGAGGGGTGGTATATGTTTCTTATTTTGGCCCTTCTGCTGAGGATTTGTGACACAAAACAACCCACATACCTTCTCTGGTTCCTTTCCCCACTTTAATGATGAAGTTAGTGTTTGTAATCATAGACAGAGGTGGTGGATTCACCACACCTGGAGGTTTTCAAGATGAGACTGGATGTGGCACTTAGTGCCATGGTCTAGTAACCATGGTAGGGTTGGACTTGATGACCTTGGAGGTCTTTTCCAACCCGGCTGATTCTGTGATTCTATGATTCTATGACAGAGGTGTTTAATTGATAAGCAAAATGGAATAGGAGAACTCTTACATAGATGAGGACAGACAGTGAGCCTGTCCCCATCTGCAAAGGTCAATGTGTGTGTACAGTCACTGCTTTCTTCTGGTTTTGCAGATTTTCGTTGCCTTTGGAGAACTGTTTCTGTCTGTAAACTGGGCTGTAGTGACAGACATACTGCTGGTAAGTGCTCCTGAAACTACTTCCTTATTCCAAGTTTTTTTCTCAACATGATATTGTTCCTAAGCTGCTCCTTGGTGGCTTTCTGATGATGATGATGATATGAATGAACTCCTACTAAGAATCCCCGTATTGGTACCCTGCTGGCATTAGGGATGGAATCACCGCCACAGTGTAGTGCTGGGCAAGGATGCCAGTGGCAATAGAGGTGTGGTAGTCCAAGTTATTGTAAGCCCAGAAAGGAGATGTCCTGATTTGGATGGAACTCATGCACGTGGAACTCTCTAGTGCTGCCTGTACGCAGAGTTCTGTGGGACTCTGTATAGCTTTGTGTAGTCTGTGTTATCTTCCATGTAGAAGGATGTGAGAGTATATTGCCAAATGCTGAGCACCACTGTGTGACCAAAGCACCACAGAACTCTCCTTCCACTGTGCTGACCTTGCCTTGACATGAATGTGTTTATCCTCATATTTCATAGCTGAGGAACCTTTCTTTTCATTCTGATTGAGATGAAGGAATGAAGCTACTTACATTTCATGGGTCTTCAGCAAAGCCCTGCTGACACTGACTGTGCATTATGTTCTCTTTCACGGTGCTGCTCTCTACATGTCAGCTTTCTGCACTCTGGAATTTTAATAAAAGTCTTGACATGAATGTGTTTATCCTCATATTTCATAGCTGAGGAACCTTTCTTTTCATTCTGATTGAGATGAAGGAATGAAGCTACTTACATTTCATGGGTCTTCAGCAAAGCCCTGCTGACACTGACTGTGCATTATGTTCTCTTTCACGGTGCTGCTCTCTACATGTCAGCTTTCTGCACTCTGGAATTTTAATAAAAGTAAATAATCAGCAGTAGTTTTTTTTTGAACGCCTCAGCCAGCAGCAAGAGGGGTTTGCTTCTCCTGTGACTCCCAGAGAAACTAATATCCTATGAGACAGGAGCTGGAGCCTTGCAACACTAAACAGGTGCAGAAAACCCATCACTGGTCCAAACTGCCTTTTGGATTAGCTTCTCTTTCAGTTTATTTTGAAATCACTGGGGTTTTGCAGCAGAAGCAAGGATTCTTACAATTCTTTCTACATCACTTTAGACACTGTTGAAGGATTTTTTTAAGTTCTCAGTATACTTTTCTTTGAACATCTGCATTTTCATTCTGCCCTCTGTCAGCTAAGGAGCAAGGTGACAGCATGGACTTCGGTACTGGTGATGTATGATGAGGAAAGTTAGGCAGATGGTGACTGTCACCTCTTGCCTGCAATTGCTTCCTGAACCCAACCTGCAAAGCCTCTAAGGAGATGTTCAGTTCCACCACTCCAGCCTTGGCTTGCCTAGGGAGCATCACATCACAGCCTGCAGGAGGCCTATGAGGAGTGTCATTGCCATGTTCTGAATCCATGTAAATCCAGAAGAGGAGGAAGTTCTTGTCTCCCAAGTGACCAACATCCCTCATTTGTGTTTATTTTAGAATCTTTTGGGTCTAGGTAGCAGCAATATTGCATCAATTGACAACAAGTGGGAAGGTCTGTCGGTACAGGGCCCTGTGGTGTTGTGTTCCCAAGAGCAGTCAGTGTGTACCATGAATGTGCTTTGGGCTGGAGCTCTTGAATTCTAAATGTTACTAACAGTTTTATCAGAAAAATGCTGAAATTGAGCTGAATTTGTGGGTGGCTGCTCAGTGAGTGGCAATCCTATTTGGGAGTTGTGCTTTGTCCTGCTGGAACTCCACAGGTATCCCTGCTGTTCTACTGACTGAAGGGTGCCACAGATAACAGCAGTAATTTCTCTTTTTGCCTCCTTTCCCATGTGAGCCAGTAGGATTTCTGATAATGTAGCTGCTTTGCTAATGCATGTTCTTTTTTTGCCATGAAAATGACTTTTCTTTCTTCCCACGTGGCACTACTAGCCAGACAATGTAGCTAGGAATTCATTTCTCCTGCGACCTGTGGAGCTGAAGACAAAGGAAGATGCCGACTGAATGATAAGGACTTTCTTCTTTTGTGGCTGCTGCATCAAGATGCACTGCATGTAGCAACCTTTGTGCCTCCTATTCAGTGTAAACACGAAGGTATCTGCTGTACAACTACAGTCCTAATGTGCAAGTGGAGAAGTGCTGTAGTTGCCTTGCTTAGAATGCTCTGGTTTGCTGGGAGCTGTACTTGGAGCATCCCTTATGAAACACGTTTGCCATCTGTGAGGTGATGGCACTCTGTCTTTTAGGGGTTTGGCAGCTAACAGAGTAGGAGATGCTAGAACTGGAAGCCTATATGGGGTTTGGGAAGGCTACCAACATGTCCCTGTCTTTGGAAATGCCCTGGGAGGCACAGGAGTGGTTCCCAGCCTGTGTGTTCCATCTGCTTTTTCAGCTGACAGCTCTGTGACAGAGTCTGCAGGAGGTCTCTGAAACCTCCCAGGACAGCACAACAGGGTTTGCTAACTCTACCTCTGTCCAGGCAGCTGCTCTGGGATGTCCTAGGAGCTGGCAGTGTGCAGGATGTCACCTGCATGGGTCCCTGGGCAGTCACTGTGGCCAGGCAGGATCCTATGGCTACTTCAAAGTCCCTCTGTGGGGGAGTGTTTTGATTCTTCTTTTCCCAGTGAATCCCACAGTGCCTAGAGCTCTTGTGTACAGTTTTCATCATGCAGAAGAACGTGAATAATAGCACAGGCCGAGTTTGTATGAGTCTCAAAACTACAGGAAACATCCCATCCTCCTCTTCCATTTTGCTTGTTACAGCTTTGTTCCATCTGTCTCTTGCAGTTACAGATAGAGATATTAAATCAATGTGGTAAGGAAGTGGTGCAGGGCACTGAGAGCCAAAGTGCATTTAGCTTTTGCCATGTTTGCAATGCCCATGATATAGAAAGTGCATAACAATATTTGATTTGTATTTCTCAAACACAGCCTGTCATTATCGATAGGAGAAAGAGTCTAGGACAGATGACATGGTATCCTTGGAGAGCCAAGAGCTGACAGTCCCCAGTCTAGTATAGTCTGTCACAGCCAGGTCTGCTTCCCAAGCTCAGAGTTTTCTACTGCTGGTTCTTTCTCTCCCCCTGTACAAGAGTCTGTTCCCAAAGTGCAGATGCTCATCTGGTACTCCAGGCAGGTTCTGAGAGAAAACAAAACAGGTTGGGTCCTCTCCTCTGTCTTCATGTGGTCTGCAAGGCTTCAACTGACACCCTTTATAGCCATGGCAGCTCCTTCAGGTTCCAGGTACCCCAGGTGCCCCCAGCAGCCTGGTCCAGGCCCATAAGAGATTTTCCTCAGAGGCTGTCAGTGCTGAATTTCCTTATTAGCAAGTCATCATGACTGTAAGGGATATTGACTGGAGGTTTCTGCTGCTTGCATGGCCAAGTGACTCTGTACAAGCTGCTGTGAGTCTGTGGATGGAGGCAGGGGGGTCATGTTTTAACTACTTTCTTGTCACTCCCCCTTGTGTCTTCATTTCTTGAATGTTTTTTTTCCTCAACAAAACATGCAATGTGTTCATTTGCTCAGAGTAACTTCTCTGTCTCCACACTTGTAAGCAGTGTTTGAATACAAAATACAGAAAGTTAACCTTTTAGTCTCTCTGGGTTATTGCAGAAGTAGCTGGTGACTCCTGAGGTTCCCTCTGTGAATGTTCACTGTGCTGTGTGCTGTGCTTTGTTTCAGTACGTGGTGACCCCGAGGCGACAGTCCACAGCCATCGCCCTGCAGATCTTGGTGAGCCATTTGCTGGGAGATGCAGGCAGCCCATACCTCATTGGCATTGTAAGTGCATGCTCTGCTTACTGGGTCTTCCTTAGGGGAAAACTTCTAGAAACTGAAAGACAGACACTTACAGAACTGCAGGCACTACCTGGTTCAAAAGTAGAAATTACTTGAGTTGGTGGCCTGGATTCTAGGACACAGAGACCTTCACAGTGTGCAGGACACTTCCAACACAGGACCTGCACAAAGTCACCTTAAACAGCAGCTCACTGAAAAGTGTGAAGACAAAAAAAAGCTTATCTAGATGAGATTATCCTCAGGTAACCTTGCAACTTTGCAAGGAACAGAGACAATAAGCCTAGGAATAAAACTGCTCTATGTCCCAGTGGGATCCTGTGCAATGAGCACCACATTGTCTTCTGGAATGCTGCTGTGAACCCATGTACCAACACTGCCCGTGTCAGCTGTTGGTTAAGCACCAAATCTGCTGCTTTCATGTCCTGCTATTGTTTCCTAACCTGCTTCAGCCAACCCTTTAGCTTAAGAACTGCCTGGAGAGTCAGGGAATAGTCTTTCTCACAGTCTGTTTTTCTTCCCTCTGCACTCCAGAGATTTTTTTCACTAAGCATTTTGAAATTAAATGCATTAGGGCTTGCATAGTGGCCATTATGCTTGCTGTGGTCCCTAGGTACCCATTTAGAGTTGATCTTGCTCTTATCTGCCTAAACTGTCATAAATAATTGTACAAAACCCAGCAAATGTTGAAGAGTCTCATATTTGTGCATTTCAAATCACACACTGTATTCTAACCATCAAGAACAAATGTGGGAATAAAAATGACTGCTTTCAACATTCATCTTTTTGCTTATGCTAAGAAGTTCCTGGGTTAAGTGTTGAATCTCACTGAGTTTCTTGAAATCAGCTCTTCTTTCTGTCTAAGAAAATAAATTTCATGTGTATCATTTATAGCCTTTACAACCTCATCCTCCTGCCAGTGCAGGAAGCAGCTGCCTGGTATCTTCTTCCCAGTCACTCCATGACTCCTCAAATGTCTTTTGACTCAAAAGCAGAATCCACTCTTGCCTCAACTTAATTTTTATCTCTCCTCTGACTAATAAGTGTTGCTGCTTGTGCCTGTATTGCTGCTAACCCCCTGTTTCCATCCACTGGATGCCAACAAGGGAGGTGTAAAGTTATTGGATTGCATCAAGGAATGCTGAAGGTCATTGCCCAAGGCCTGTCCTGTGCTGCCTACCTGGAGAGGAGCTACAAGATGGTAACATGAGATGTTTATCAAACATTATAAACACTGGTTGCAGTATTTCCTACTCTTGTGACTGGAGGCACTGAAGAGATAACAGAACATGAGATTCCTTGACCAAAATGAGGCTGGAGAGCAGTGGGGTGCAGGTGTGCTGGGTGCTGGGTTTGACAGACTTTGGGAGCACTCTCATCCCTGCCTGCCTGTTTTGTACAAGGGCCACACTGTTTAAAGCAGGAGAGGAGGATGATGCTATCCCAGATTAATGGCAATCTCGTTCACTCCCCAGATTGCCAATGCTATCCAGGCCAGGAATGTTCCCTCGTTCCAGTGGAGTTTCTGGAGCATGCAGTACAGCCTTGTCATCTGTGTTTTTGTTGGGGTTTTCGGAGGAGGCTTTTTCCTCCTGACGTCTTTCTACGTCGAGGAAGATCGGCAAGAAGCAGAAAGACTCTGAGGTGTCTGTATGTCTTTGCAACCTTTCAACCTGTACACAGTGGCTTTCCTGTTAGGCCACCAGCCATGGAATCAGCTCTGGGAAGCTAAACCACAAGTTCTGCATTATGGTAATGCCACATTCGTTTCTATTAAAAAATAAAGGCAAAATCCTAGCGAAGTCTCAGGTTAAACAAACCTCCCACACTGAGCAAAACAGAATGCAGAGCACACAAGGGCCAGGGAAGTGCTGTTAGTGACACCTGCAAAGTGCTGCAGTATAGAGGAGAAATAAAATGCTTCACTGTAATGCATCATTGCAGACTTCATGGAACACGTGGTTCTCTGGCCTTTCTCAGCTCTGTAGAACCAGTCCTGGCTCTCTGTAGCACTTCTCCTTCTCCCCTGAGAGAAGTAGTGTTCAAAGTGCGAAAGACTTGCGACTTCTCCTTCTCCCCTGAGAGAAGTAGGGTTCAAAGTGCAAAAGACTTGCAGTATACCTGTGGAATTGGACAGAAGACTGTCCTCAGTCACCTGGACTCTTACAGCCTCCTTCTGCTCTGGCTTGGTTTCCCAGGTACCAACTGTCTCTCAAATGAAGATGAACTCTGAGATTTGCACAGAAGAAAAGAATGTCTTCCCCTTTTCTTTCCTATTTGCTAAATGAGATGCAGCTAAAGCAGAGGCCAAATCACAATCCCTCCATATGGCAGAAAATCCTGCACACTGACTTTTTTTGGATGCTTTTGACTGTGAGTCAAAAATTGCTACTGCATTGGCATATGGCAGCTCTCCCCCATCTGCAGCCCCTCGTGGGGCTGGGGAGCTGCAGAAGGCAGAGCACAGAGCTGTCTCCAGCACTGCTGCTAACCTCAACAAGGCAGGAGCATCTGAGGCACAATGTCTCATGGAGGTAGGAAAGGAGGCCTAGGAGTTCTCAGCAGGATGAGATTTGCCTGTAGGATTTGGAAAATGTAGATAGTACAAAGTCAGTGACAGAGTCAAGAGTGCAGGGCCATGATTATTTTATAAGTAATGTGTTAATGGTCTCATCCTAATCTTTTGAGGCTCTTCAGCATGTCCTCAGGCCTTGGGTAAGTATCTCCTCTCCTAAGAGAACAGTAGTACCTGTAAAACCACTTAAATGTGACTGTCCATTTGAGCTCTTGTCTCTCAAGTGAAGTGGATTTTGATGTCATAAGATCATGCCAAGGTACCAAACAGGACATGATCAGTGTGGCCAACTTCATTGTCTGTCATGGTATGGTTCCCAGCACCACCTCAAAGCCAAAGCCTGAGGAAGATATTGGCAAGTGAATTGTAAAGTGCTATGAATCTTAGAATCATAGAATCAACCAGGTTGGAAAAGACCTCCAAGATCATCAAATCCAACCCTACCGTGGTTACCAGACCATGGCACTAAGTGCCACATCCAGTCTCAGCTTGAAAACCTCCAGGGATGGTGAATCCACCACCTCCCTGGGCAGCACATTCCAATGCCTGAGCACTCTCTCTGGAAAAAAAATCTCTTCCTATTATCCAACCTAACCCTCCCCTGGCAGAGCTTGATTCCGTGCCCTCTTGTCCTGCTGCTGGTTGCCTGGGAGAAGAGACCAACCCCCACCTGACTCCAACCTCCTGTCAGGGAGTTGTAGAGGGTGATAAGGTCTCCCCTGAGCCTCCTCTTCTCCAGGCTGAACACCCCCAGCTCCCTCAGCCTCTCCTCATGGCACTTGTGCTCCAGTCCCTTCACCAGCCTCGTTGCTCTTCTCTGGACCCAATTCTGGACCAAATCTTGTCTGATTCTCCCAGTAAATCATAAGGATCATGAAGTACAATATTCCTGTAACAACTGTGAATGTCTAATGTCCCTATAAATAGCCTAACTATTTCAGCAACTGCAGGTTTTTGTTCTCCTCTGTCTACCTCATTTAAAGAATTTCTGCTCTGAAATCTGACTTCAACCCAAGTAGCAAAATGTGACCATGGTGGGAAATAACAAACTTTTTGTGATACTCAGTAAGAGTGTAATAATTGTCTTTCAAATAAATGTTTGTGTTCTGAAAGACTGAGCAACTTTTTTCTGGTTGTAAAAACTAGCCATGGCCATTAGACCTCTGACTTTTTGGACATTCCTGTGGTGCCAGAGAACCCATGTCCAACAAGGGAGTTTTGCTGTTGGACATGAATTCACCAGCTTGTAGAGATCCCAAGTGTTTCAGCCATGATAGAATTTCATCAGCTCCATGGAGCTTCTCTCTTGGTGTGTTCAGGGTTCACCCTGTAAACAGATGAGCTGTGTATCACTTTTGTGAAGTCAGCACTAAATTCTTCTTACAAGCATGACTCAGAAGCTGTATCTGGCACACTGTGCAGGCATGGAGGTGACATATGAGCAAGAGATGCCAAATGCTGCTCTGTAGATGGTACATGCAGTCCGTGACAAACTCCTTCCTACTCCTACTCTTATCTCCTCTGTGAATGCCTAGAAATGAGCAGGATCATGCTGACTAGTTCAATTCCATATTTACAAATGCCTCTCTCTTTTCTTTGTAATTTAAGGGGAGAAAGTGTCTATTTTTGTCCTTTTTTTCTGCACTTTAGCAGGACTAACCCCCATTCCAGTGTTGGAGGCTCTGAGCTGTGCCTGGGGCTGCCCTGTCCCCATCCTCCCTGGGAGCTGCTGGCAGAGGCCACACAGAGGTGCAGCACCTGTGTGCAACAGCCCAGGGAGCTCTGCCTCAGCAGCAGAGAAGCTGTTTCCATCAGCTGTTTGTGTCTTAAAGTCAGAACTTCCTCACTAGGATATGTAAAACAAGTAGAATTTTCTAACATTTTCTCTGTGTCTTGGATTTGTTTCTTAGCAGGTGGCACCAAATTCTGCACAGAGGAGTTCCCTCGGGGCTGGAGGGGGCTGTGTGCTTTCTGGCTGTTTCACACATCACACACTTTCCACACCACCAAAAAACCTGTCTTAGGGGAAGTCACAAAGTCCTGGCACACAGCCAGTGAAGGGACAAAGGTTCTCTCTAGGCATCAGCTGAAATACCTGTGGTTTTCTCTGGTTCCAGCTGAGTACAAGTAAGAGAGGAGTGGAGGGCTTGCAGAAGTTATTACATTTGCTGCTTTGTCTCCACTGGAAATTGCTGCTGCTGGAAGCTGCT